TTTAAATTATTCTATAAGATAAATAATGGTTTTTTAAGTAGATTAATGAAATTTTGTTAATAAATTAAATAAAAATTGATATAATTATTAATATAAATATTTAAACTTCATTAATTTATTTAAGATGAGATTCTTTATTTTATAGGATAACTTTGACAATTCTACATTTGTTTTGTTTTGTGGAACACATGCACCTTCTACGTGAGAATTGGATTTGTTTAGTTTTTCGGGCTTGTAATTTTGCTCATTCACATGTAACAAATTAGTAATTGCACTCTAATTTAGAGATAGCATCCTTAGATATTGATGAAATATATGAGGAGCAAAATAGCACTGTACATAGTTCTGTCACATAAATGTTATTCAAACACCTAAATAGGATATTAGTGTATAGACACCGTATATTTACTTTACTTAAGTAGCCAATTGCACACATCGTATGTTTACCTTACTTAAGTAGCTAGTTGCACAAATCTAACTATACATATAAACACAGGATAGAAAAGTTTAGAAAAACCTCTCTTCTCTCCTGCCCACTCCTTCTTCTTTGCATTACTCTCTCTGTTACAAATGCACCATCTTATTCTTCCTACTTTCTTCTATCATCTATTCTGAGAACCACCATAAATCCATTTCTCTCAACACCAAGGTGAAAATTCAATGTCTTCACTGTGGCACTCCCTCCTCTTTGCTTTTCCCTCCTTCTAGCCTCTATTTTTGAGGGACTCCTATAAAAAATCGTCCACTATAAATCCATTTCTTCCAACACCATTCAAGAATCCTTCCTTACATCTATATTTTGACATCTATTGTACGATTTGAATAGCAGAGATAACCAACTTGTCATTTCATCTATTAGGTACTAGGTTTATAACCATTACACACTATGTTTTCCTCTTTCTTTTATGGATTTGAGAATTTTTGGTTGAAATAATTTTTATTTTGCAGTTTGACAAAAGTTTTTCCTTTCATCCCAAATCTGCACAGTTTCACCATTGCTTTCACCATTCTCAAGTTTGCAAAATCCTTTTTGTTCTTTGCTTTCGAGTTTTTGGATTGAGTTTATTAAATATGTTTTGGCTTTATTGGGTTCAACGAGGAGATATTGTCTTCTTTGTAACTTAAGTGTTATTTTGGTTTATTTTGCAAAATTTGATGTTGGTTCGGTAGTTGTACTTTTAGACTTGGTTGAAGTATATTTATGTGGTACGATGTACAAATGTTTAGGTTTATTCGGTTGATCATGGGATTTTGAATATCCAACACTTTTTTGATATATTATGTGGGATTTGTACATGCTTTTGTTGAAGTAATTTATATCCTATTAACTTGAAAGTTAATGGTTCTTTTGGCGGATATTGGTAACATATACGTGAATGTAGTATTTTTTGCATTTGATGGAGTTATATGTGTATATCGTTTTCTTGTTATTAGAAAAATTTTGCATGAATTCAAATGATGTATTAAATATTCAATTGTGTAGCATACTAAGAATTAGTTTTGGTTATGTTTGTGTATACTATTATATTGACTAATGAAACAATATATGCACATGGATTGTGTATGGTGTGTGATTAGGATGAGATATGTTGTACTTAATTACAACATCTTAAAATTCTAAAAATAGATAAAGATTTAAATTTTCATGTTCACTCTTTTGAATCTTGTTTACTATTTTACTCCTGCAAAAAATATGCTATATAATTAAATATTTTTTAGTGGTCAACTCATATATAAGTATTTGCAAAGTTAGTTATTTAGGCAATGATCTTATAGAATGTGAGACCATAGATAATGTCAATTAGTTTCTAAAAGTTTGATTCATTAGTTTTAATTTGCATTATGATGTTGTTGTTGCTGCTTTTGTACATCATTTATCATTCTCATAGTGATTTTAATTACCCACATTTTAAGTTGTAATAATTTTAGTGCATGTTTGAATGCCTCTTGTTAACAGTACCATTTTCAGCATAAGTTGACTATTGATTTAATTTAAATTGTATTATTTTTATACTGATTCTTGAACAATATAAGTGAACATCATATTTTAAAAATGAACATTCATCCATTCTTGCCACGGTAAAGAAGTTTTTCAATTTAAAATTGAATTTCTTGACAAAGAGAGATGCATGGGTTAGTACCTTTCAAAAATACTCACATTTGCGATACCCCTTGAGATGATTGTCTAGGTTTGCATCTACTTCCTTGATTATAACACTTGACTACGAATTTTTTGGAAATTAATGATTTTTGAACTATTATAGTCTATATGCTTAATTGTGTTAAAAGTTGGTTCATTATAAAAAAGTGAACTTAAAACTGGTGTTGAAATATTAATTGTTTATACACACCATATCTCTTAAGTTTTTCATGTATTTTTTTTTAATGATATGCCATAAACACCATCCATGGCAAGTATCAGGTAAAGCTATTGTAATAACATTATGCATAACCTTGCATTAGTTAGTCACAATCCCATTCGGTAGCTTCCTGAACATGTGTCTTACCTAACATTTGAAAAGGTAGACAAATGTTTCAGTATCTTTCGCTGATATTAAGCTACAACCAAGTAAAACTGAGTGACCACTGTGATTTACACCAACCAAAGTAGTAAATGACATTTCATACTTGTTTGCTAGGTATGTTGTATCAAAATTAACAATATCTCTGAAAGCTTTCATATGTAGCTCAACTTTCGAGCTTTACTATCATGTGTTCATATGTATTGGATTTGTGCAACTAGCTACTTAAGTGAGGTAAACATACGGTGTCTATATCTCGACACCCGGGTGTTGGAATAACATTTCTAATTTTGTTACTTATATCCAAAGGCACATGTTGGGCCTCTCCCATTCTTATTTTCTTTTTCTTTTGTACAATAAAATGAAAATATGGCTAGCTTATTTCAAGATTAGTGGTGATTGGTGTGTCACGTGTGAAACTTTTATGTTTAATAATAGGTATATAAAAAACAATTTATGTATCTTTTGATTTCTTTTCTTTTAAATCCTTGAAAGGTAGTTTATTTACACTTTACTTAACCCTAACATGCCACGAGGTTTTAATAGATGAAGATTTCTTGTTAAGGTTTATTTACTTTATATTGTAAAAGAATTAATTTTGAGAAGATTAATAGAATTAATTTTTGAAATAATGAAATATTAGTTTTGTTTAAATGATAAATTAAAATCACCTTTTTAGTATAAAAATAGATAAAATTTAAAGGTCTCATATGCATGATTAATTTTTTTCAATAAAATTTTAAAATATTTTTCTTCTATATAAAAATCAATTATACTTATCACAAAATTGATATTGGAAGTCCCAAAACATTGCCAAACACTATAAATTATCTTAGAATTGATTTTGTTTAACTCCATTGTGATTTTGTATAAAACCCAAGTATGTTATTATTTATTTTTGGATCCAACTTTTCTAAAATAAGATATGCATATATAGGATAAATTATAAGATTATAACTAGTAATTAAAAAATTAATTAATTTTATTTTTTTAGGTCATAAATAGAAGATGTGGAACAATCTGTTGTAGATAGTTAAGATACAATGGAAGATTTCAATTAAATTTTTACTATTAATTAAATATAGTGTTGATTTATGCAGTTTTTGACTTTATTGCAGTAAAATGAGTGTAACTATTATATAGAATTTAACATTGAATTATTCTACCAATGAGTGAAAATAAAGACGTAATTATAATTTTCATGTTGAGCTCAAGATCCAATTTCGTCATTATTTAAGTAGAAAAAACCAACATGGTGTAATAGTCAATTTTTTATGACTAGATCAAGGAGAATCTATTTGATTTGGGGACAATCAATTAAGAATAAGATCTATAGAGAGCTGTCAAGCTATTTTCTTCGAAGTGGAGTTATTTATTTACTAATTCTTGCTTAATCACTTATTTTTCAATTAATTATGTATTTTGACATCATAATTTGGATAAGAGATTAATGATAATTAATTGATATATATTCATATTTTCCTTCAAGTCCTCAAGACTATATTTGGATATCATGTCTATGAGGAGAGGAGTTAAAAAGTTATTCTAAATTCTCTGAATTTTAAGAGTTTTTCTATCTTCCTCTCTTATTCTCACGAATAAGATTCTATTTTTTTAAAATGTTAATTTTTCAAATAATTTTTTAAAAATTATAAAAAATTAATTTAAAAAGAGAAAAATAATTATTTTTTTATTTTTAAAAATAAAAATATAAAAAAATATATGAATAAAAAGTATAAAAAACCACAATATCATTTATATGATTAAAATTTCTATCATCCTTTCTTGAGGAGAGGTTTAACCTCCTTTCCCTCCCCTCCTTTCCTTAGTTTTTATTTGTCATTTTTATTAACTCGTGAATTTGTGATTGCAATATTACCTAATGTATAAGTAATACATTTCAATAGGGTATGGATCAAACATCTAGAAATTGCATTCTATTTTGGGTCAATTTGAATTGGGTCGCAAATTGATCCAAATCCACTATATAAATAATCCAAATAAATAGCGAACTATCCAATATGAGGGACATTGCCATGGAGCGTTTCAGTTAGTGCTTCGGCCCAAAAGGAATCGTTCGCAAAGTAGTTTAACTTGACACACAAAAAAAACCCACCTTTATCTACTAATATTGAAAGAACATGCACGTAATCCATGAAAAATAACTACAGTATAACTAAGTCGGCAAATTATTCTGCGTGAGCAAAATTTCCTTGCACTGCATAAACTAAGATAGTATGTTACAATAAATGAGGTTAATATGCAGCAGGAAGGGGCCAAGAGAGAAGCTTCATCAACCTTACAAAATCATATAACTCAATTTTCTTTTGGACTTCTACAACTATTGGCTACACTAAATTGTGAAATACATTAAACAAAATCGTAGTGTTAAAATTAACCAATCTGTTTTGGTTTTGTGGTCTCTGGGACAAGTCATCTCCCGGCCATGTATCCTATTATACGAATTTAAAAAAAAAATAAAAAAATCTGGGCCCACTATGTTAGAAACTGTTTCAATATGGTCGAAATTTCCTGGCAGCTCTCAACTGCTGAAGGCGCTTTTTGTCCTCCTCAAATTTACTCTGCAGGGTCATGATCTCTGCAAACAAAGCATAAATGGTATCACTGACAACATACAAATTCAAATGATTCACAAATTACGATTGCAATAAGAAACAAGATAGGGAATACAAAATCAGTGGCCAGAATTTAGCACAAACCATAACCAACGAGCATGAGAAGTGAGAACTTAATAGAAAATCATACCATAACTTGCTAGTGAGTTCAGGTAAAAGATCTACACTTACATAATAGGTTTGAATTATTCAACCAACCAAAAATAACAGTCAGATCTACACTTACTAACAGCATAGGTTTGAATTATTCAACCAACCAAAAATAACAGTCAATAGAATTGTTAACCCTGGAGAGCTGATAGAAGGGAAAGTCAAAAAGATATTTGTTTGTGCATTAGAACGAGGAAAGCCTTATGATTTTCATTTTTTGTGAAATAAAGAGAAACTTGTCATAAAGGAAAAAAAAATGCACATACATATCAAATAAGAAATACTATTGGAGAAAGTCAATGAGCTAAAGATACAAACAGATGAAAAAAATAAAAGATTGGCTTCTACATTTACCAACATTTGGAATGGATCCTCTCATGAGAATTTTCACATGACAATGTCATGTGGAAATAGATCGACACAGACCCTCACTGAGGCCATACAAAATTTTGTCTGCCTTCCCATGAGAGAATCCATTTCCACCAACATTTATTCTACATTTGATTATTGAATAATTGCTTTAACACTACATATTTTCATGATAAAAAAAATAGCTGAACATCATGTAAAAAGTGGTGATCATACCATTTCTTTGGGCTTCTTTTTTCTGAAACCGGTAAAAATCTAGTCCTACTCCTTTATGCTTCTTTTTAGCCATTTTATTCTCCACAGCAGCTTGGGCAACAGAAACAACAGCCACTCCACTTTCAGAGTCAGTAGTTTTCTTCCTACCCTTATGGTGTACCACAACAGTCCAACCCCCTTCTGCAGCACAAGCTTCTTTCTCTCTTCTTTCCTGCATTGACCGTAACATTTTTATCTTTAACCAAAAATAATGACAAAATAAATGTTGGATCATTGAGCTATTAAATTTGACTAAGGAGTAATAACATTTCATGATCCACATAAAATATATAACTCAGCAACATATAATCAAGTTTAGGCATCAGAGAGATTCAAAGGAAGGGGAATCCAAATATTGACTTTTGGACAGATGGAATTTGTATTCCAAAATTCCATTTGTTAAATAATCAAAACTGAATAACGGCATCAGAATTCAAAAAATGTTTGGACTTTGGACTACACAAAAAGACTGAATTGAAATTGTCAACTGAAGATGGTCCTACAATGATATGATAAGTGGAGCCAACAGTGAAAGTGCTGGCAGTGCTCAAAATGGTCTCATGAAAAAATGGCTAATTGACTAGCTTCTTTAATGGCATCATTTCATTTTGTTGATTACTCTCCTTTGCTAATGTCTCCTAACAAATACATGCAAGTATGAATGAAGTATACAGTTTTACACCGCCTAGCCAAGAAAAAGAAACCTTAACTGAAAACATAACCCAACAGAGAAAGAAGATCAAAACAGTAAACAAGAATAAACAATACAAAAATCAACCTTTGATATCATATAAACATTTGGCTTCACTAGCTATAAGCATATTAGTTCCTCCCAAGCAATATATTCCCTACAATACAAACTGGAATGATCCCACATATCTAAAAGACCTTTTCAAGAATAAGACACACACGCTGCAGAGGGAACAGTAAAACTAAGACCAGTATAACTTGGAATCATGAATTTCTGTGTTCAAGTGCTCCTTAGGTAATGATGAGAATTCCTACTAGTTATTTAAAAACAAAAAAGCCTAGAAACTGATATTTGAATTGACATCTCCAATTAAATACGACATTTAAGAAAACCCAAATCCATGCCAAGATATAATCCCCATACACAACTCTATTTCAATCATCAGTGCTACTTTCACTAAGCAAGTAAACTACAGAATGTAGCCAAATTTCAAAGCAATGACTAAACATAATCAAAGATGCATCCCATCCTTTTTCTGATCCTTATGATGTTTACTAATTAAAATCTTATCAAGGATAGAGGCAATATTAGTGTAAGACAGGAAAATAAAGGATGCTCACTTGAGTCACAATTCAAATCACGGGTACAAATGCAAGAAGGTTATAACATTTACCTCTTCCAATTTTTCTTCATGGGCAGTTATAAAGTCATCAATTTGATGTTGCAATACGTTCAACCCTAATCTACTTTCATGGTATTCCATGATCCACTCTGTAATTTAAGCAGTCCCAGTCAGAAACATACAAGATATGAGAATTATTTAACAGCATAGAGCATAAAAATAAAAAAGATGCATCTCAATCCAACTTGTAGAGGATGTAAATTGCCCAACATGCATTAATTTTTCCAGTTCCACCAATTGAAACATTGCAAATATAAGCCCATTATCCCATGTATCATGCAAATAAAAATTTCATGTGCACAATATTTGAAGATTAGTATGCATGTAAAATAATCCCATCAATTTAACAATTCATACTTTTCATTCCTTTTGAGCAGTCTTCATCTCCAGAAGAAATAACATAAATCTCTTCGTGATCAGGGCTCCCTTCCCTTTCTGGTGACTTTGGAAACACTTTCCCAAAACTCTCATCCTTTATCCTCTTTTTCTTAGTTTTCTTTGACCTACCTACAAGAGAGGAAAGAAAACTCCATCAGGAATATAAATGGATAACTTCAGGAGTGTCATCTCATCATGCAACAAATAATCAACCAGAAAATGTTTTCAATACAGGGTTTTATTGCAGCTACAATATCAGCAACTCCATGCTCCTTAAAGTCTTGGATCTCTTTAACTTCCAAAGGATGATCATTCACTACTCCATCTGATAGAATGGGAGAAAAAATTAAGATCAACATCATCTATACAGCATATTTTACCAAAAACATTATAAAGGAAACATCCAGTTCTAAGCTTATTGACAGAAATATATCTTGTTCATATGGTGCCACAATCCCATCCTCAACAACTGCCCACTTTTGCTTTCTAAATCAACTCCATGCTTTGGTTACTGTCTTCCAACTATATTTTTCCCCACTCTAATATCCTTTAAAACAAGATATACAACACACTACAGAGAAACCAGACTAAAAAACTGGTGAACTCGTCAGGTGTTCAATCCATATGATAACCCACAAAACTCCCTGTACAAAGAATTTATAGAAAACCAACCAAACCTGTCCATAAACAAATTAAAAGGTTGAGAGCTACAGAAACAACTTTACCTTGAATATTCAAAGTAATGTCCGTCTCAGCATCAGCATTTTTTTGGTTCTTCCTTTTTCTCTTCTTTTCCACAATAAGTTTTTCTGCTTTGCTTTTGCCTTTTCCTTTCATCACTCCAAAAGCTCAATCTAGAAACAACACAAGAGGCCAGCATTCAATAAACCAAAAATCAATTTCAGATAGCAGTATAGCGAATAGCAGGACAGCCGCTATTATGAAATTAGTTATACTATATACATATAAATGCTTAAAAAGCTAAAAATACTCAAAATGCTTGACATATTCATAATTGACAATACGAACTCGTAAGTCTAAAACAAAACATTCACGTAAATAGCAAGGAGAGAACTTAGACAAAATAATGAGTCTGGGTCTATGGGAGACAGATGACAAAAAAAAAACCCTCGAACTTGAGAGAACAAAAAAATTAGAACAAAGAAAGTCCTCGCAAAAAAAAAAAAAAAAAAAAAAAGAGGAAAAGAAGAGAACAACAGCAACCAGCAGGACAGTGAGAACAAATGGGAAAACCGGGCACATGACGAAAATGCAGAATAAGTGAACAGAGAGCATGGGTTAACCAGACCACACTAAGTTCTGGCCGGGAAAAACTATGACGCGGCCAGAAAATCGTTGAAGAGCAATGGGCTGATGTGTCACATTGAGACATGACATGAAAATCAATGACCGAAGCAGAAGAACTATTTACAAAAACGCAGGATAATGAATATAAAATTGAATGCTTAAACTAAAAATAATTTGGCAAAATTGACGATTCAATTACTGGAAAATTGTATGTATAACAGTATAATACACGAATCCTAATAGATACCATTGGCAAGCACAACTTTACATTGAAAATTATTCGAATATAGTGAATTTGGTACCGCTTTAGAGAGAGAGCGAGAGAAAACACGAAAATCTTACCCGATATATGAGAGAGAGAGATAGAAGAGAGTGAGAACCCGAAAGAGAGATAAAGGAGAAGCTTGAAAGAGAAAAGATGACTAGGGTGGAAGAAGAGAACAATGTAAAAGTTAGAGGGAGAAGAGCACACAAGCGGCGATGAGGACCTACAGAAATCAAGACTGAGGATGGAGTTTTAAAGACTAGAGGAGGTAAGTAGGTATTATCAAATTTAAATATATTTTTATAAGTATATTAAAAATATATTATATTAATATATTTTATAATTAAACATAATTTATTTTATTGTTTAATTTTAAATATTTTTATATTAAACAAATTTAAAGAAAAAATAAAGTTAAAACATAAACTATAAAATTTAAAATTTAAATATTTGTCACATAACATAGTTAAAGATTTAATTATAAAACTACTTTTCCTTTAAGATAATTTTTAAAAATATTTTAATTTAAATAATAAAGACTTGTATTTTAAAAAATAGTTTTCTATAATTATTTTACTTGAATTGTTAAAAATTTAAATTCTTTAATTTAAACAAATTATTTTTTTTTTCATTCAATTTAATTCAGATTTGATCCAAGTCGCACACCTATTTAAGTGTACAAGTTTATTTCAAAAGATTTTTTACATATACAAATACTTAAATCAAAAGATTTTCCTTAAACAATAATGAGTCACTTACCACTCAAAATCAATGATTCAAACAAATTGTTTTAATATATAATAATTTGAATCATTTCATATAATGAATTCTTTTTTCAAAATTTTTATCTAATGCATTGTAACAGAAAATAAGGTTTAACCACCATATGTATTGTTTTATCCAATTTTATTTTATTTTTACATTTTCTTACAACAAAAAAAATAAAAATAAAAATAAAATTTAAATTAAATCAGTTTTATTATTATATTGAGATGAGTCAAGTTTTTTTTTTTCATTTTTAGTTTTTAAAAAAATGGTTTAAATTTTTTTATTTTCTCATCTTAAAAACCTTTTTAAAAGTTAAAGTAATTAACAAGTTTTATTTTTATTTTTTTTCTTAAAAATAGTTTTTAAAATTAAAATTAAAATAAAAAAATAAATTCTTTTTTTTATCATGTTTTATCTTTATCTATCTTTTCATCCTATCATTTTTTTATTTTATTACTTTTATTAACTATATGCTTAATTTTCATAATAGTCTTGTGTTAGTCCAAATTTTTCAATAAGAGTAGAGAATATTACCTATTATAGTTGAAAAGTTAAAGTACTTTAAATCAGAGAAAATCAATAGTTAATAAAATAGTTGAAATAGAAACTCGAATAACGTCAAGTACAACAAGGGCTTTACTGGAACAAACAAGGAGGAAGAGAGGGATGATGTTGGGGACAAATTCCTGAAAGCCGAAGGGAACTTGGCCATGGGATTCGGGGAGGTCTCGTCACTGGCGAAGGTCTTCAAGGTGACAGCGCCAATGAAGTTGAGGTTGACGGAGGAATTTGCAAAAAAGCCAAGGATATATTACTTGCTTCAAAAATGATTTTAAAATATTAAAATAAATCCAAACACTAATAAATTTGTTTAAATAAAAAATGATTTTAAACTTTTACTAAAGTAACAAATTCTAATAAATTTGTTCAAATAAAAAATAGTTTTGAAAACTCAAATTTCAATAATTCGAGTTCAATATTAAAGGCCTATTGAACAAATCAACATCAACTTCCTTTTCATTGGCTTGCCAATCACATATACCTGGCTCGTTACTTTATTTTTTTAACACTCTATTGCAATTGTATTCAACTTTGAAAGTTTTTATCTAAAAGTAATGAATTTTATTCTTATGTGAACAAAAATTTTCTAGGTCTTTTGCTTGCATTTGGCCCTTCCCCTAATCATTTCATTCTTTTCCCATGCAATCTCTTTTCCTAAGTGAATGTTATAGTCCTTCACCCTTTCCTTTCCTTAATCTTGTATGTAATTTCTCATTAGTTTTCAACCAAAAAACATTGTCAACTCTTCGTTACTCTTTAGGAGGCATCCGCCCCAGATAAACTACCCACCTCGCAGTGTCTCCCCCTCCCCCGAATTTTTGGTGCAGCGGTTAGGCATCCTTAGACGAAAGTGGTCTTTCAGAATTGGTCGTTTTGTGTCATCACCTCCCACCTATTCTACACATTCGATTCTATGTATCCTAATACATGACAAATATTATTGAAACTAAAGACATCCAATAGTTCATCATCAATTTTGAGCCAAACTTTAACTTCTTCATCTTCATACACCATGCTTTCTTCATTTTATTCCACAAATTGACCTCCAAGCTGGATGTGAATTGTAATAAAGTTGATTATGTATGATAAATAAACTGAATTTAATTAATTAAATACATAAACACAAATATAAAACACAACAATATATATAACTCACCTTATGAGGGACAATTAGAATTTAAAAACCTAAAATCCTTTTTGGACCACAATCAACATATATAATAGATACAAGTGATGACTTTTCTAAGTATAAACATACAAAAAGATTGTGCGTGTGTGTGCACGCACACATATTGGACCACAATCTCTTTAATCAAGACAAATATAAAATTAAAGGAAATAAAGCATACATAGAAACACTATAAAAATTATTAAAGCACAAGTGCAAACATTGTAAATACCTTACCTCCATTAAAATGAAAACCAATATTACATGCAAATAGAACTTACACATTATAAGAAAAAATAGGAGAGATAAATCTATTACATGACTTTTTCATAGCTAGTAAAAGCTCGTTTCATAAGTCTAGTTACTATTGTTGTTCCCTACAAAGCAAATGTTAGCAAACAAACACATGGACATGAAGGATAATCGTACAAAGAAAATCAAAGAAAGCAAGGAAGGTTGGGCATAATCCTAATGATTATAGACAAATAAATTCAGCATATATGGATCGCTGAATTTGGAGTTGTTTTCAATTTTTTTATGATTTTTCAAGTTGAGGCAGATTTGATAAATATTGTTGCGAGATTGTATTTAGACACTTGTTATTTAATAATTGTATTTGGACTTTTAGATATTATTGAAGTCCAAATTTTAGCCACTTAATTTACCTTAATCAGAATCTATAAATAGACTAATAAAGTTCTGAATTAGGTGGTGTGACTAGATACTTTGAGTTATTGAGATTTGGCCGTTAATAAGAATCCTTGTTTTTACCTTCTCTCAAATTCTCCCCTTCTTCTCTCATTCTCACTTGGGTTAAGTGCTTCAATGGAAGGCTAAACCTCCCGTTTAATCCACAAAATCTAGATGGTGTAAATTCAATTTGAGTTTTGAGTCAAATTGCTTTGATTTCTTTTTTTTCTCTAATATCAGATTTGTGTATTGTGATTGTGATTAACTTTTATGTAGTTAGAATTCAAATTAGGATTCGATTGATATTCTAATTTTATAATTAATTCAGATTAGGTTAAATGATAATTTGATTTAATGTGTAATCTAGTTCAATTAGAAATTAATAATGGAATTGAGTAATCGTTCAAACTTGGATTAAAATCCTTAAATACTGTGATAATTGAAATTACATGCATTTGATGTTTTGTGGATTAATATTTCTTAATTTTTTTTTACTCAATTTAATTTCATTTGTAGTCTTGATTTAATTAATTCAAAGTTTTCAAACCCCTAAACCTTACTTTTATTCTTAAAAAAAAATGAATTTAATAGAAAATGTGTCTCTGTGAATTGACCTAGGTTGAGCTCTATACTACAAATTTCTTAGAGGAACTTAATTCTTTTGATAGCGACTCGGTGTCAGGCTAACATTTTTATAAATGACTTATTCCTATTAAATCATGTTACATATATTTGGACAGTATAAAATTTTATATGCTAAAATGTGAATGGGTAAGCTGTGCAATTACTGGATGGAAGTTATGAGTTAGAGTGTTGTTTGGTTGATCGTTGAGTAAGACTAGTAGCGAGAGTTTCGATTGGATATCAAACATTTATATAAACATTACTCCTTTTAAATGGTACTGTATATGATTGGATTATGAGAGAGCTATATAATTGTTGGACATAGAGCAGTGTAGTTATAGTGATGTATGATGGTGTTGTTGAAAGTGGTTAACAATGCGGGTTAGGGATTTGAGTTTTAAGTATGTTGTATGTGTGATAACTTAAGAATTATAGCCAATGACTTATATTGTTTCATTTTAGGAAAAATTAGGAGTTTGGGATGCTGAGTGTCTTGCTCAAGCGAGGTAGTTCTCGCTCAAGCAAAACTGAGTCGTGCAGAAAGGAACATTCTGGAATGTTTTCACTCAAGCGAGACAAGATGAGACTTACCCAACTATCACCTAGCCTAAGCGAGAAGGGATCTCACTTAGGCGAGAAGCGACCTCGCTCAAGCGAGAGAAGCTCTCTTAGGCGAGGAGTAGCAGGAAAAAATAGGTGGCTCTCTGGACCTAATCTCGCTCATGTGAGAACGCTGCTCGCTCAGGTCCACTATTTTATGAGTTGATGAAATACTGATCTTACTTTCAACAAGAAGGCGATGAGAGAGATTGGTGTGCCCAATTTAGGAATGGACTGGAAAGTGACCTTCACACTATAGTTAATGTTTTTCAACTAACGGACTTACCAACATTGGTGAGCAAGTGTATAAGTTTGGAAGATAGTCTGAAGGAGCAACTAGTGGATGATGGAGTTACAAGAGTAGTGGAATAGGAAAAGGAGTCTACCAGATCTCAGAAAGAGTCATGCTCAAATACAGCTCAATCACAAACAAGGAGGAAGACACCTCATAGTAGCAATAACAAGAACTCCTTGGGTAAAGTGTTTTCGGTGTGGAGGACCTCATAAGGTGAAAAATTGTACGCGACCACGTTCAACATGTGACCCTTGTGAAAAGAAGGGACATTCAAGAAAAGTTTATCGGTTTGCACCACAAGTGAGAGAAAGTTCAAGTGGAAGTAACAAGCTAACATCCAAGAGGCAACGATTCTTAGATTAGGAAAGTGATGTATCTGTGGATAACCTCCTTTAGTAAAGCGATGTGTGGAGTTGAAGTTGTCTTACTGCTTCAAGAGACAAAGGGTGTGTAGTTTAGTCATCGTGCCATGTACCGATGTTAGTAGGGTCTTATCATCTTTGTGTAACTCTAAATTTT